TATTGGACAGATTTTTAACGAGTCGGTCAAGGGTCTCTGACCGACCGGTATCGGTTACGGTTATGACCGGTCGGTCAGTCATAATTCCTGGAACACATGATAAAAGTGACCCGAATGGTTTTTCGGTCAATCCGATTAAGTTATTGATTTCGGCATGATCGGTAAGTATGTAAATTACGTTTCATACATATAAGTTACATTGTAATTTGATATATATATATGTTTTCGCACAAACTAAACACACTAAACGTGTTGGGCAAGTATTCAAATAATATTGAACTTGTCGACATTTACAATGTTAAATTTATTCATGTGCCAGTGCACTAGTTGACTGTTAATGTAAAAGTTAAGTATGTACGTACGTACATACGTGTATAGATTTATTTCTTTCTGTTAGTTTTTGTTGTGTTATGTCGGTATCATGTTTATTCGAATTAAAACTCAGTTAGCAAATCACGACATGCGTTGATAAATATTATATACTTTTTTAATCTATTATGCCGAATTCACGAACTTAATCGAATCGGTTGAAGCATCATTCGGTCAATTTTTATCAGGTGTTCCAGAAATTATGAAGATAGCTGTAACCGTCGGTCGGTCGGTCATTGAGCAATAACCGGGCGGTTATTGACCGTGACCGACCATGCCCGACCGTTGCCATCCCTATTGTTTTGTCTCTCATTATCGGGATATTACTATGAAGTACATAAACGGGTATTGCCCCTTCTGCTATCGAGCAACCACGCAGTCATTTCTGTGCATCGAATTGCCTCTTACTCGCTTATTCTTTTACATTTATAAATAATCATGTGTTCGTTAGCTATTGGCTGTCGTCCGACAGGCCAAACTTAACTGCGTGACTGTCGTCCCAACAGGTCACAATTACAGTTTCTATTCAAACAAGAAGACATATCACATTGGCTGTCGTCCCGACAGGCCAAACTAAATTGTGTGACTGTTGTTCCTTAACATGGCAGCCGCTGCGGCCAGCCAGACCCTACAAAACTGACTAACCTCGGGATAGGGTGGGTGGGTCGATATAACCAGAACGAAAGCCGGGTTCGCAGAAAAGACAAAAGTAATTCTGAACAAAATTGCTTACTAACTAATATATTACAAAACAATTACCTCATACCTACTCAATTACCACATACTTACTCATTACTACGTACTTAATCGATTGCTATAAAGACGATACTAATTCATTACTAATCCCCGATTACCTCATACTTACGTTCGATCGATCGATCGAACATGTGATCATAACCGGGCCTATCACATGTTCGACCAGATAGTCGATGATTCGAGACAAAAGCTGCCTCGATACTTACGTATCGAGCAGCTATTGTCCAAACACATAAATTGCATCAATTGTTGTTTGTCTGGTTTCATAGGTATTTTGTTCCAAAACCATACTTGCGAATTGTATTAAAAAAAGTTACTACACACGATAAGCAAAAGTAAAGCTTCGCTACTTTTATTCGTAAGTTTACATATCAGTGTCGGTCTTAATCTAACCTCTACCGCTACGCCATAAATTAAATAAGCTAACGAGCTAACGCAATTATTTGTGTAGATCATGCACCTAATCATGTGCCTGGGAAACTTTTTGTAGTGATTACCTAATTTGTACCGCGTTCTCGCGATTTCAAAAATAACATACGTACGTGTTAAAAAAAGGTATATAAGGGACACTTTACTTTCTTTATATCGTTGCTTTCACGTTTATTATATTTTTACAATATCTTTACACTATTTCTTTTATATTATTATTTATTTATCTACTTTGCCATTATAAAGATAGGTAACAACTTGATGACCGCACCTGGTCTTCCAGATTACACCGTCGACAGAAGACAGAAGTATCTTGGTGAATGCAATTGGTTACCTAGGAAAGAATACTTTATAAAGAAGATATTTTTTATAAAACTATTTTTTGTTACTGCGTGTTGACGTAAAACTTTTGGGTAAATCCATATGAAAATTAGCACGAATATGAATAACACTCTAGGTTGGTTGCTACTATTTACGCAAAGAAATATTTAAAAATCTATTTTTGTATATTCGTCTTTAATTAAAATTAGTTACGTTTGAAACTTATCAAACATCAACAACTGCATGATCACCGCAATGATCACCAAATAACACTGCTAGATGAATTTGAAGAGCTATGGAGGCAATCGATGTGTTAGAAGCATGAAAAAAATAATAACTTGTTTTTCTTTTATGTTTTTTTCATTTGTTTTTTTTTTCGTAAGTTTTTTCGAAAATATTATCTTCGAAACTTAATTTGTCGATTTATAGGACAAAACCAAGAGATTTTGGAAACGAACAAATTTTAGTTGTCCCAAAATTATGAGAACTATTTAAATAATATCGGATAATTATAAAAAATGAATCTCGGCAGAATAAAATTTTTTTATTAATATCGATAGAGGTACCACGTATATACGAGCTTAACTCTTAAATAATATCCGAATGCAATTATATTAACTTATTAATTAACTTATATTGTACTAATCAATTTACTATAAGCAGTGCTAAATAATAAATAGAAAAACAGGAACTGTGCTGAATTCTAGAGTAAATGGTCAAATGCATGAATGAAATGTGGTTATTGAAATAACGAAATATTAATAATAATAATTAAGTAGTTAATGATGAGTAACTACAGCACAAGTTAATATCGTTAATAATACACAAATATGTATAACGTTAAATGAGAAGCATCAAACAACTCAATGTCATTCCTACTATTACACTGAAGATTAATTTTCTAGTATTCTCTAAGGAAGAAGCGCCGCTAACAGTAATGCTTGGTTTCGATTCTGCTGCTTCTTTACCAACATTAGATTGTTTGGTAACTTTAACGCTCGACGGTTTAGTGTTGGATGATTCGGTTTTTGTCCCTGCTACCACTGGTACACTACTACCGTAGAAAGCTGACGTATCACTGCTAGAAGAAGTCGGTGTCGGCGAACCACTAATTAAAGAAGTTGGCGCAGAATTGGTCGAATTGGTCGAATTGGTCGAACTGGATACTATTTTGCCATCTTGGCCGGGGTTTTTTCCAGATGGAGGCGCTGGAGATGTAGCTGGTGGATAGTTACCATCTGAATCGGTAATTGTAAATCTTGTTGTGTAATATTCATTAGTAATATTGGCACCATCAGTAAATCTGTAAAAGTACCCTATAATGATAATATAACTAAAGGTTATTATAAGAAAGATTTTACAACAATTGGACAAAATCAAAAAGATGTATACAGTTTCCA